AAAATCCATTCGGAATTCTGGCAAAAATTCGCCCGATTCTCGCACCCGAAAATTTATATTGAATGTTTTAATTAAATTCGAGAGGAGGGTGCTTCGCTTGTGATCGAGAACTTCCGAATCAGATGCTGAGATACGCGGAAAACGATTTTTTTAGGAGATTGAGAACTGGAATGTCCAATTATATTTACTACGATATTTCTCACGCATTTGTAAAGAAAATGTCCAGTAAAGAATAAAAGATAGATATAACGGGGAAATAAAGAACAACTAAAAATGTATGACTAACCAACGCTTTGTAATGGAAACTAGAATAAAGATATATGCTTGGCATTTTATATTATACTATTCACAGATCTTTTTTGCAATTAATAGGCTTTATCCTCTTATAAAGCTTGTTTCTTCCTGAACATTTCAATTTGATCATTTCTTGTTTCAGAGTCAATAGGCTTTGTTTCCTTATAGATCTTGATTTTTACTAAAAATTTCATATTGATTTCATGTTGATATCGCTTTTGGTTTTTGATATTATTTTTCGTTTTTGAGTTAGGATTATTTAAAAGGGCGGCAAAAAATTGATCGAATACATTTGATCAAAAACATTAGATGGAATGCATTTGATCAAAAAAATATTTTATCGAATAACAATTGATCAAAAAAACATTTTATAGAATAACAATTGATTGAAAATAGGTTTGATAGAAAAAGTAATTAATCGAAAAACCAAATATACATAAAATGAGAAAAAATAAAAAATTAAACCAATTTACCTAACCTGTGGCTTAGAGTCATCGCAAGAACAAATATGGAAAATGAAGGTTATGAAGTTTTTATTCCATCATACAATGTCTCTTGCAAAGGGATCATAAGGTATGTGGACAGATGTTTATCAAATTATTTTTCTCAGTCAGGTCTAATGGAATACTCTGTAGATTCAGAGTACTTATTATTCATTATTATGCTCTTCAATCCATTAACCATTATTCAATGGAACATTCGCTCTTTCAACTCAAACATAGATAATCTAAAGATCCTAATTAAGGAGGTCCTTTCGCCACACCTCTCGCCTCAAATGTTAAAAAAACAGTTATTAGATTATGACTAAAATTAATTTTTGTCTAATAGTCCTTATTTATCTAATACTGAACTTTTAACTATACCTTACCTTGCAAATTTTTGAGAATTTTTTTTTTAATGTGAGTATTTGTACAGTGCCTCACGAGAAAGTAAGTCCTCAACAACAATTCTCGAATTATACTATTATTTATTGATTAGATGGAGTAGAAAAAAACTAAAAATAAGGTTTTTGATATATTTAGATTTTGTTTTATACAATAAAATATATATAGTAAACCGTGGAAATTTTCAAGTAACCTAGTTGAAAATTTTTTGTGATTTTTTAATAATAATTTCTCAATAAATTCCACGGTAACCTATGTATTTTATTGTAAAAAATAAAAAAAATTATTTCAAAAACCTTATTTTTAGTTTTTTTCTACTCCATCTAATCAATAAATAATAGTAAAATTAACTATAATTCGAAAATTGTTGTTGAAGTCTTACTTTCTCATAAGACACTGTACAAACACACACATTTAAAAAAAAAAAAATTTTCAAAAATTAGCACGGTAAGGTATAGTTAAAAGTTCACTATTAGATAAATAAGGACATCTACTATTAGAAAAAAATTAATTTTAGTCATAATCTAATATTTTTTATTTAACATTGGTGGCGAAAGGACCTCCTTAAGGACCACAATCCAGACATAATCCTACTTAATGAAACTTGGATGAAGATTATAGGTTTAAAGTGTAGAGGTTACGAAACATTGAGAAATATTAGATTGGATGGCTATGGAGGTATAGCCTGTTTAATTAAAAACAATTTAGATTTTCAGCCTCTTCTAATAGACTCTCTAGATCTTCTAACTCCAGTTCAAGCCATCTATCTTACCCACTGCCAATTACATTTAGTGAATATTTATTGCCCAGGAGACCTTACTTTCAAAAATAATTGGTCTAACTTTATTCAGACATTAAATAAACCTCTTTTGATTATGGGGGACTTAAATTGTAATCATGTGTGTTGGGGAAGCTCCTCAAATAGCTCAAATGGTAAAAATATAATAAATTCTTTAGATTCTTTACAATTAGTGTTTTTAAATTATTGCTCTCCTACACTAATTTCTTCACCAACTGGTGGTAAATCTGTCGTTGATTTAACCTTTTGTTCATAAATCAAGTTGCTGATACTACTATTGCCTTCTTCAAGCCTAACAGGAATGTTAAATATCATATCCCTTGGTGGGATGATTCATGTAATGAACTTTGAGAGGAGTTTGGTTGCTTGCAATAGAGCGAATTTTGCAATATCTACGATAGATAAGAATGAATGAATAAATTAAGCTTTGATATACAAGATGTTATTTTGACATGTTCTGATTAAACATTCTGGCCTCTCTTAATTTCATCCGAGGGGCTTCTTTATGTTTTCTAAATCAAATTATTAGCTCCGGATATTCTATTGCAAAAAATGTTATTTTGTAATTGAAAAAAGGGATGTGGAGGAGCTGCTTGTTGATGTCGGAAAAGTGGCTTAAACTGTGATGTAGGATGTTCACAGTGCATCGAAAATGGTTATTTCAATAATTCACCTCTTATTCAAATAAAGATGAAGAAAATATTTAATAAATATGAACATTTAATTGTTAAAATAGAAAAACCTTTTATAAGTAATTTTCCTTTTTATTTAATTTTTCTTCATTTACTTCTTTTTCTAGATTACTATCTGAATATACCATTTGAATTATTGTAATTATTATTTTTTTTTAATTCGAGATTTTTAAATTGGTAAACTGTTTCATATATATTAGTAACAAAATATTCCATTTTGAATTATTAAATTTCATTCACTGCAGCTCAAGTTCAAGGTTTTTATGTTTCTATCGCCCAAGGCGCTCCACTAAATATAATAGAATCAGTCTCAATAAGTTTGTTTTTAATAGGCGATTAAATCACTACTAACTTAACTATTTTAATATTATTGTTTTACCATTTCAGTAAATATGCAGTTCATTATTTTTTCACAGTTATTTAATATTACCTTCAAGCCAGCCATTTTCGACCAATTCGTCATGCTTTCTGCCTTATTTGATCCTTTTACGGCCCCCACTTTTGCCAAAAAATAAATGTATTAAAATATTTCATCGATAGACGTTCGATAAAATTTTTATCGAGTCGTTAATTCCTTATTGATCGCTTTAAATCAAAATTGAGTTACAAGCAACGTCGTAAACGACTGTACGGTAGTAGATAATTGTTCCATTTCATTGGCTCATCATTTCCCGAAGTAATATAATATTTAGACGTTGATCAGAGAAGTACTTACATAGTTTTAAATTTTTAAGATAGACATTATTTTCACTAATAAATCTTATTTTCTGTATGTATATTATTTATACTGCACATATAAGATGCCGCTAGAGCAATACTTAAATACAAAGAACTAGACAGGTATGCCATATATATAAAATTTCAGCAGCAAACAAGTATATATTGGAGGGTAAGGTAGGAAAATAAGATACGACCTAAGAAAGAAAAATAATTTAAAAAGTAGGCATTAGGGACCAGGAAAAATATATAGAGCAAAGAAAATCGAAACCTTAAGCCTCAAAGGATTTGTTGTCAATTTATTTTCAGCTTGAGAGATATCGGGCACTGAAATACGCACAGGTTTTACAGCTGTACGAATAAATAAATACTCTTCAGCTGATTCACAAATGATCTCTTAAACGTATTTGTAAATTACAGAATATTAAACTTTAATGTGACATTGACCGTATCAACAAACTTTATAAAGAGGGTTTGATCTAGGCTATTATTTTGGATTTTCGGTGTATGAAATCTGAAAAATCTCAAAACCATGTATTTGTCATCTACATTCAAAGATTGGTGTTTTTGGTTGCACCAGAAAGAATAGTTTACAAGATTGAGAAGAACTATTTGAATTTCTTTATTGTTCATTTTAATGAACTTTTGCAAAAAAATTGGGTTAAGATAGACAGAAAAAAAAAGACTCGAGCGTGGACTGATGTCAAAGACTCTCGTTTTCGGGACTATAAGTCCCAAAACAAAGTAATGTGTAAAGTAAAGTTTATGCAGCGATTTGTGAACTATGGGTAAATATCGTTAACTTATTTTTAAAGTGAGGGATCGGCAACGTTGTGTTAAGTTGTAAATACATATTTGATTTTTCTCCTGCATTTAACTCAAAAATTGGGCGATATAGACAACATTAATTACACTTAAGCAAGCCACAGTGAAGTTGAGTGTTTACCCAATGTTATGTTAAATATAATTCTCACTTGTATCTTTGTAACCCCTACCCTTATATTTGTTAATGTCTAGTTAGTTCATGATCTATTATGGATGTCACTTGTATTCTGTCAGTTGTCACCTTTTTTTTGACTACTTGTAAAACTGATGTTAAAATAAAAGTGCAATTCACTTTTGTTCTTTATGAAAACTTAATAAAACCAGTCGTTGATTAAATACATTTATTTAATCCATTCCACATTATTAGTCAGTAAAAAATCGGATTTAAAAACATAGAAATAGCGATATAAACAATAAGTGTAAGTGATTTCAAAGGTCAAATCCAAACGAAAAGGCAGTCGCTAAGAAAAAAGCTGCGCTAGATTGCAAAGCGGTGTTGCCAGATTAAAACAAAAGAGCAAGAAATTACACAATAGCTGAAGATTGATAAAAGGTGTACTTCCGACGGGAAGACTGGGGTATATCTTTTTGCGCAATCAACAGCAGGCACCAAGATGAGTGACATAGGAAAAATAGAAAGGATATTCCAACTGATTGAAGAAAATATGAAGGAAATTAATGGAAACTTAGATATGGCAGACAACAAGCAAATGCGAGAGGAAAATAGAAAACTAAAGGAAAAAGTGACATATCAGGAATAAAGAATAAGCAATCTAGGAAAAAAGGAATAGAAGATAAAAAAACAAGAAAATGAGAAGGAAACAAAGGATAAAATGCATAATTTTACAGGAGATGGGAGTAAAAATCGCAGTAAAAGAATATATAGATGAAGTACGAAGGATGGGCAAGTACAACATTGAAAGGAAAAGACCAATAATTGTGAAACTAAATAGGGAAAGCACAAAAATAATGATTTTGCAGAAAAACAGAAGACTAAAGGGCACAAATATATGGATTGATGAAGACTACCCAAAAGAAGTCCAAGAGGAAAGGAGGAAGCTAATAATAAAAATTAAAGAAGCTAGAAATAAAGGTCACAAAGCACAATTAAGATATAATAAATTAATAATAAACGACGAGTTGTACTGGGAGAAAGACACCGATCAAAACCAGGAAGACAAAAAAGAAGGATGCGAAGGAAGCAGCAGCCAAAAGAGGACTGTAAACGAAAGATCACCGGAGCAAAACAGATATGATGAACAAGTAAGGAAAATAACACGATATAACACAAAAAACCAATAAATAAAGATTATATTAAGGAGAAAATGAGCAAAAAATACATAACGGTGCAGTAAGAAACAAAAAACATGATGATCAAGGCAACGAACTACAGAGAAAAAAACATATTTTATTATACTCCAAGCAAATAAAACCGTACACAACGGCAACACAGAGCGAGGTCAATAATTTAGACACTCATAATATGAAAATAGGAACATGGAACTTGCAGGGAATTTACGAGGAAGGAGCAATACAAAATCTAGCAAGAGAAACAAAGAAATATCAGATAGATATCCTAGCAATGCAAAAAACCCATTTAACCGGGAACACTACATCGGATATACAAGATTATATAATGTTCACAAGTGGAAATCAAAGCCGTAGATTTGGAATGGGTTTCTTAGTACTCAGAAATATAAAGGCATCAGTAGTAAATTTTAAAACCGTAACAGAAAAATTATGTAAAATACAAATTAAAAGCGGATAACAAAATATAATAGTTAACTTCCACGCGCCAACAGAAGAAAAGGATGAGGAAACGAAAGATGAATTCTACGAAGAACTAGAGAGAGTATATGATGAAATTCCCAAAAGTTATCTGAAAATAATTCTAGAAGATGCAAACGCAAATGTAGGCAAAGAAGAAATTTACAAAAATATAACAGGAGGTGAAAGCAAACACGATATAAGCAATAATAACGGTCTAAGATTAATAAATTTAGCCATAGAAAACGATATGAAAATCATGAGCACACATTTCAAAAGGAAATATATTCACAAAGGAACATGGATCATACCAGGTACCACAAAGACAAATCAAATAATCCACTTTATCATTGAGAAACGGGACGCAAACTTAGTAAAAAATGTTATCATACAGACGACAGTGACACGCCTCCGCACGGTTGGAATAGAACCTGATGTAGGATCTGGTGAGGCGAGAAGACGCTTTTGGCAGGCGGCGCTCGATACGCTCCCACTGCTTCAAACGAACATGGACTCCATCTAACCGAGATATATCTTCCATAAGCCATATGAAGTTGTAATAGAACAAATAGAAGAGCCGAAAGTGGCAGATACGATTCATATCTACACCGACGGTTCTTAAACAAAACAAGGCTCAGGATGTGGAATATACTCCAGATTCTTAAATCTAAACATAAAATGGGCTGTGAGTAATAGTGCCAGTATAGTTCAAATAGAGCTAACGGGAATTCTCATAGCAGCAAAAGAAATAACCAGAAACAATATCACTGAAAGGAACATGCTCATCTATACAGATAGCAGACAAGCACTACTCACCTTGAACAGACCACGAATTTACTCAGGGTTAGTACTAGAATGTCACGAAGCTTTGGCTAAAGTATCCATTAACAATTTGCTCACCTTAAGATGGATCAAAGGTCACGTCACATCGAAAGGTAACCGTCTTGCTGATTCACTAGCCAAGAAAGCAGCTAACCAAATACTTTTTGGACCTGGCCCTTCTATTGGCCTGACAAAATCGGTAGTGACAGACCTAATTAAAGAACATTGCATTGTGAAATTCAAGGAAAGATGGGATGAAACAAGAAACTGCAGAGTTGCCAGGGAGCTCTTAAGTTATCCTGACAACACTGCAGCAAAAACAAATACTTGACTATGACTAGACAGAATCTGCGCCTAGTTACAGGCATTCGACGCTCTCATTTATTAGAAGATTTGTGTTCGGGAGTATCGGCTAACACCGGCTGATATAAGAGAAGCACCTCTTGGCAACGTTGTTAACTACATTAAATCTGTAGGCTGGCTCACGAGATAGGAGGTGCCTATCATCTCAGGAGGATGCACAATGGGCCTAATGAAGCCTAAGTGTCGTGGGTGTAACCCACCCTCCACACGTTACAGATACAGAGAAGCTCTTCGGATGGAGGAAAAACACATAATACCTTTAAAAATTGCAGGGACCTTTTAGCTAATACAGAACCATAGCTAATAGTTGTATTAAAAAGTGTAATTGTTATTGTTAAATGTTACATGGAAAAGTATTCATAAATTTTAATTATTAGGGACAGTACCCGATTGTAATGTCCTTTAGAATTAACTCTAAAAAGTTACAACAAAGAAAGTTATTTTTGTACTAATGTGAAAGTATCATGTTGATTTTGTTGAATTATATAAAAGAAATATGCCGTTATTGGGATTTTATTACTCCCCATACATTTTCAACTTCTTTTAAGATATTTAGTTTTGGCTTCTATATAGCTGCCTAATGCCATTATTAATATACCAAGAGCCCCTTATATTGTAATACTGTATGTATCGTAAATTATTCATTTTTAATGAAATTTAAATTTTCCCAGTTTAGCTTCCCTAATATTTGTTCTTATTGAGATTAGTAAATAATATTATTGCGAAAAGTAATTAATTTTTCGTTTAATTATTCTCGCTGCATTTTATAATTGTATAAAATATTAATATAATTTTAAAACTTTTGCTCTAAGGCTTTTAGAAATTTGATTCGGCTCGACTTGAACGATCAACGTAGAAGACATATACTTAATGAAATTTTGCGCTCAAAATTCCTCACCCTTCACCTCCAAAAATGTGTATTGAAAGATTTAATTAAATTTAACAACGAACGCCAAATTGCGCGATCGCGATCATCCAAACAAGAGATATAGAGCTTTTTTAGGGAACATATTGAATTTCGTGCTAAGGGGAGGTCGGATATCATGAATTCGAAATTACGTTTTAAGAAATACCTTTACTTTAAGTCCGATATCGTTAATTCTGGATTAAGCGAAAGTTATAAACGTTATTTATCATAGTTAGATAAGAAATTGAATGAATATAGGTTGGCAAAATTCAACTTCTTAATGATTCTTTAACTACACCCTAAGAGAATTTTCTTAAATCGATTCAGCATATTGTTTCAAAACAATCAATCATTCTTGGGTAAAAAAATTCGAGATGTTTAAATTAAATTCCAATATATTTTTAATTTATATACCTACAGTCTTTTTAGACTCAATTAAACACTGGCGTTTGTACCAGGGGTGTGTAATAAAATTTGTTTTGGAAGAAACAAATGTTGAAATTGAAACCAATTTTTTTTAATTTTTGAAAGAAGACCAAAATCTTATCGAAAATATATAAAACGACAAAAACAAATTTTGCATTTAAAAAGAATTGAAGTGATATAGACACTAAACATGAGATGAAAACATAAGCAAGTACTTAATTTTGTAAAAAATTTCTTCTTTTTTTTTATTTATCCGAAATTATGAAAATTAAAAGTAACAACTTCAGGAAATTCTGCTGGGAGATTAACTCTACACTGGCCAAAGGGAGAATGAATACAACTATGGCTCTAAAGAAAGCTTCACGGAGAGTCAGGAAACTCACTTCCCTAGTAGCACACGTTTTCTGAAAGGAGACACGTGTAAGGTAATCAGGCTCTCCAGAGAGGCCGTAGCAGTTGACAAACACATATGCAGCACTAATCTGTTAAAGTGGGCCGTAAACACTTGAGTCATTTAAATCTCATGCTGTTTTATCAGACACAGGAGGAATTACTACCACATATTATTCGGATAATCCCGAATGGAAATTGGAAATATACCAGAACCGTGGAAATATTATACGATACATGCTGAATCCTTGCGTTTCAACCTTACATTATTTGTATATTTGTATTAAAAATCAAAAAGTAGGCTGATAATTATTATATCAGAACGGAATTCCTGGATAGGAAGCAACTCCATCACAGCCAGCACGCGTACAGAGTAGGAAGATTATCAGAAACTACTCTGGTACAGTTGACTAACTAAATCCAAAATGCCAAGTCCCAAATATATGCCAAAAAATCAATCGCATAAAGAGGAGTAGACAGCGCCACATCTACGAGAACTGCATAGATAAAAATAAGACAGAACACCATTTATACCAGAGGATGTCCACAAGAAGGAGTTTTATATTCACTAATGTGGAGCCTAACCATAGACGAACTCTATGCAAATTGAAGGTTATGTCGACGACATAGTCATACTTGCTAGAGCAAGTTTAAAAATATCCTCTATGATATAGTCCAATTAGGACCTAAACCTAAACATATCAAAAGATGGTGCCGCGAGGTGAAACTTTGTATAAACCTCACAAAATAGGTAGCCTTTTCAAGGAAAAGATAACTCAATCTCACAACCGTCAAATTAGTCGGGGTAGATATAGAATGGAAAAAGGAAGTCAAATACCTAACTTGGATAAAAAAAAAACTTTTTTGGAATATACATATACCTAATGATGCAAAAACATAACTTACTACGAGAGCAAATTTTTTAAAAATCACCGGTTCAATGAGAACCTGTCCTACTGCCGCAATTGATGTGATCTTAAACCTCGCTCTTCTACATTTAATAGTAGAGAACGGGTCAAAAAAAAAACAAGATATGGAATGTTCAATAATGGAGTAATCAGATGAACTGGGCTTTAAGAAAGAATAAAGCTAAGAATGTATCATTTTTGCAACCGAAAGATATGTGGTATATGAATGGTTTAAAAACCACATAAAAACTTGTATGTATGGGCTTAATAGCCTAGAAATAGGTACAGAGAAAGTTTGAGTAAATACTCATGCCATTGAGAAGTGTATCCAGTTTAAAATCGAAAGAAACTATCGTAGACAAGCGATTATCATCATGCTCGATAACCAAACAGCCATCAAAGCATTCACCTCTTACTCAATCAGCTCAAAAATGGTCTGGAGATGCCTAGAAAAGCTAAATGATCTAGGCAAGGAAAATGCAGTTACTCTTAGGTAAAGAGTAATGAGACTGTGGATAGGAAAGTAGCTCAAACGCCCTTTTTGGGACCTAAGTCGTTTTGCGGTATCAGCAGTATGTAAAATAACTTTGTCAGTATCTGACCTAATACGCTTTGGAAATGACCATGAAATATTCATTGTCTTTCATAGATGTATAACTACAAACTGCAGATCAAGTTTTTAATTGGTTTTAAAACATAAGCATTAATATAAATTTTAAGAATATTTAAAAATTATGCGACGGTTCATTGACAGCAACATATAACGTTAAGACACGTTTAGCAGTAGTCACCCATCAAGTCTGGGACATTTTGCACTAATCTATTGCATGCTAGTCTTGTAGGCAGAGCTGGGCAAGTACTCGAATACTTTTATTCGTATTTCTAGTAAAAGAACTACTCGTAATTTTTACTTATAAGTATTTTTAATTTGAAGTACTTATTACTCGTACTTCCAAGCAAATTTAAATCTACTCGTAGAATAATACTTCTAAATGAAATACTAGTAGTATTTTAATAGTAATCGGCATTCATTTGATCGACGCGTTGGTAAAAACATCCGGAAGATGCTTACCGCCAGTTAAGGGCGACTCCAGACCGGAAGGGGCGGGTTAGGCAGCTACTATTAAAAAGCATATTTTTTTTAAATAAAAGGAGGGTATCCATAGTTTTTGTGACGACTTTTTTTGCTCTTCAACGGAAAGAAGATAAACAGATAAATGCAAGTCGTGTAGAAACAACCGGATAATTTTTTTTTTACTTTTTAAATCTTAATATGGTCACCCTCAATAAAAGGCTTACGTATTAAGAATTTTAGCTGCCGGGAGGGCAGAAGGGGTGCATTTTCCCCTTGAACCTAACTCACAACGTGCTGACGCGTGCTGTAAGTATAGTTGCCCTAAATAAAAGGATAGAGATGGTAAAAGTTTGAATCTAAGGGGGGAATACTGATAAAAGCAATTCGTTGGGCTTTTCGTCCATGATACAAAAAATTTCAGAG